GCTCATTATTCATTCCATTTCTACAAGTGCCTCAAGGATCTGTCCTTAGTTCTTTGAAGACCAAGTCAAATCAACAAAGATTGGTTAATCACCTACTATATGCCACACATTGAGCTATGCCTTAGGAGTACAACAAAGACAAAAGCAGTCCCGAAGGTCAAGGAACTCACTCGGTAATGAAGGAGACAAGATGTAAACAAGGTCAATGTTTTATCAATGACTTAGATGGAGGTGTGTTTGGATGAATGAATTCTTTATTTCTTTATTAATTTATCTATTTATTTGTTTATTTATTTATTGGATGAGTGAATTCTTTCTTTTTGTTTTTTGGCTAGGCAATGGGGTTAAGTGACTTGCCTAGGGTCACACAGCTAGTAAGTGTTATGTGTCTGAGGCCGAATTTGAACTCAGGTCCTCCTGAATCCAGGGCCGGTGCTCTATCCACTGCTCCACCTCGCTGCTCCTGAATGAGTGAATTCTTGTCAAATTTGCAGGTGATACAAGTTTGAAAATGAAAGTCGACATGAAGGATGACAGAATCCCAAAAAGATATCTGGCGTAACATGTCTAGTTCTAGGCACCACATTTTAGGAAGAATATAGATAACATGGAGTACATCCAGAAAAGAAAGAGTAGGATGGTAGGAAGACTGCATAGCATACTATGAAAGACAACCAATTGAAGGAATTAGGGATGTTTAGCTTGAAGGAAAGACAATATCCAAGGAGGATTAGGAAGATGTTGGTCCCACCATACTCTTCCCTGATCAGACCCTATTGGAATACATTTTAAGGAGGGCACTGATAACCTGGAAAGCATTCAAAGCAGAGCAACCAAGATGGGGAAGAGCCTTAAAACCATGCATGTCATACAAGGTTTGGTTGAAGAGAACTGGGGATGTTTAAGAAGTAGCAAACTATTCCAGTACCTTTGCCAAGAAAACCCCAAATGGGGTCACAAAGAGTTGGACATAACTAAAACGACTGAACAACAACAACAAATAATCATCAAGATTTGGAATTGGAAGGAATCTTAAAAATTATATAGTCTGAATTCCTCTTTTTATAGATGACAAAACTGAGGCCCAGGATTCAGACTCAGGTTTTCTGCCTACAACTGCAGCATCCATTTCACTGCATCACTTTTCATCCTATCCTGGAGAAAAAAAAATCTGAGTGGGGACTGGAGGGGCAGAGGATAAAAAGAACAACATGATAGCATCTTCAAGGGTTTGAAAAGTTGTCTGTAGAAGAAAGCATTAGATTTATATTGCTTGGCCCCAGACTACAGAATCACCCACACTCAAATCATAATCTTCAAGGCAGGAGGATCATTGAATATGTTGGAGATATGTATGTTGGAGACATAACCTGTGAGATTATGGTTGGACTAGGTGATCACAGCATCATGGATTTAGAGTTAGAAGGGATCTTAGAGGTCAATGAATTTAATCTTCTAATTTTACAGATGAAGAAACTAAGGCACAGAGAATTTAGTGACCATCCTATAGTTTGTGGTTGTTCAGTTTCAGTTGTGTCCAACTCTTCATGACCCCATTTTTGGGTTTTCTTGGCAAAGGTATTGGAGTGGTTTGTCATTCTTTCTCCAGCTCAACTTACAGCTAAGGAGGCAAACACAGTTAAGTGACTTGCCCAGGGTCACACAGCTAGTAAGTGTCTGAGGGCAAATTTGAACTCAGTAAAATGAGTCTTCCTGACTCCAGGCCCAACACTCTCCACTTTGCCATCTAGCTGCCCCTTGTCTAGGGCAGATGATAAAATAGCATAAAAAGCCTTTAAACTAGGCCATCAGAGAAAGAAGAAGTGCTTTCTTTGAAGAAAATTCAACACCTACCTACTCAATGGACACCAATACAAATGAGTACCTTAATTAAGGATGTTCACATAAAATAGCATAAGCATATTATCTTTTCCCTAAACTAAGCCTTTTGGTTTCAAGATCCTTCTATACTCTTAAAAATCACTGAGAATCCCTACCACCACCACCACCACCACCACCACTACCCATGAGTTTTTGTTCATCAGAGTTATATTTATTGATATTTACCGTATTAGAAAATAAAATGTCTCAGCATTAAACACATATACGTTTATATATACATAAAACACATAAAATTATATATGTTTGAATATCTACATATATGTATGCATATATATGTGCATATATAAGTATATGTTTGTGTGCATGTATATATACATACATACATATGTACTTATTATTGTGTTTCTGGCTTAAAGCTGCTGAAATCTTTCCCTTCCTTCAGGACTCACATCAGGTGCTGCCTTTTTCATAAAGCCTCCCTTTTAATCATCAGCTGGAAATGATCGATTCTTCTTTAAATATCTCCTACTTTGCCTGGACCTCTGGTTTCTGCTTATATAATTCTCTCTTTTATCATAGTTATTTGTGAAATGTCTTCTTTATTAGACTGTAAGGTACAAGAAGGTAAAGTCTATATCATTTCTATTTTCTTTATTCCCAGTGCAGCACACAGTAGCCTGTAAACATCAGGTGCTTAATAAGTGTCTTCTGGCTGAGTGGATTGATGAATGAAAGTCAAATTTTCCATTCTAGTAAAGTCCTTTAAAACTTTAGGGGCTTTAAAATCGAGAGTTAACTCTCTTCTCTTTCTTAATTACTATGTCAACATTTTCACTTTGGGGGAAGGGAATTATGCAAAAAGAGGGGAAATTGAGAAGTGGAAAATACCTGGGCTGGCCCTTCTTAAAAGGAGGTGGCCAAACATTTTCTGGGACACTTTACTCCTGATGAGAGAATGACACTGAAACCTTGCCAGCCAACTCCCTATTATCCACAGTAGTAGATGCACAATATGTGCATTGCGCAATAGAAAATGTACATGTATCTATTATATAAAGTAATCTGCTATTAAAATAATAAGCATTTCCCATCCAACCCACCTTTTTAAACCAATGCTCAAAAAGTGCAATACAGACAGGAAAATAAATGAATTTCATTTTTTTAATCTATTTCCCTAGTGAGTAGTGCTAACAAAGCTTAAGTATTTTAGTGAAATATAATACTGTACATAACTTTTTCTGTGCTAATTGCAGTTATACGCAAGTAGTAGTAGGTACTATCTATCTTCAGGTGACTTAGGATAGATCAGTGTGGTGAAATGACAAGAGTGTCAGACTTGGAGTCAGGAGTGGCCTAGGCTTAAATCCTGCCCCTGACACAAGTTATGTTAACCTATCTGAATCTCAGCTTCTACATCTGTAAAATGGGAATAGCAATACCTGTAAAACCTAGGTCCCAGGGTTGTTGTTGAGATCAAATGCAAAAGTTAAAATATTATGTGAGTGCCAGCTATTTTATAAGATATACACTTGAAAAAACCTTAGAAATTAATTTATCTTACTACTTCACTTTACAGATGGAGAGGTAACATGATTTACCCAAGGTCACACAGTCAATTTCTGACTAGTACCCATGACTCATGAATCAGTGTTTTTTCCGCTGTACTAATTACAGTAAATTTCAAGATAAGGTCACAAGATGCTTTAGTAACATCATTTGTCTGAGACAAATTATAATCATTCTATGACCCCCACATGTTATTTTGCTTAATAGTGTATATATTTAATTCTAATTTAACACTTTTAAAATTAAGTATCTTGCCTTATATTACAGACAGTTGCATTACCTTCTATTTACAAAGAATGGGATGAAACTAGAATCTAAGGAAATAATCCTTGCTTTGCAATGATGCAATCAGAGAACATAGCCATTTCACTGAAGAAAAAAAAATGCCATCCCTTCAAACTATTTTCTATCATGTAGAAAGTAAGCTTCTTGAGAAGAAGGATTGTTTCATTCTTTGTATTTATTCCTAGCACCTAGCACAATGCCTGGTATAGTAGGTGCTCAATAAATGTTTGTTGATTGCTTAGGTAATAAACTAATTAGTTTTTTAAAATTAATTTATTTTGATTTATCAACAGTCACTTCCATATGCTTTTGAGTTTAAAATTTTTCTCCCCCTCCCTCCCCACCACCCTCCTCAAGACGGCCCGCAATCTGATAAAGGCTATATATATACATTCTTATTAACTAATTGGGTTTTTTGATATGTCCGGAGCCAGAAACAGAAGACAGGTTCCCTGAATGTTTCATCTATCTAGGGTTTAAATATTTGATATTTTGTGTAAGTCACAACCTCTCATGGCCTCAGTTTCTCACCTTGAAAATGATGGGGTTGGATTGGCTTCTAAATCTATGATTCTATGATTTTTTTTTTTTCTCCTTACCAGTCTGGACTTAGTTTTGCATCATCTAAGCTTGGTGCTCTCGGGTTCCTTCCCCTCCTCCCCTCTTAGTGACGGAAATGCTCCCTGGCTTGGCCAGTTTCTTCAAGAAATGTACTGAGAACACAGAGGACAGAAAGATATGGTCTCTCAGGACAGACACAATGTTGTTCTCAGCCTAAATAACTGCTGAGAAACCTCAGGTTCTGAATATCATAATTATGAAAAGAGTAGATTATAAAAGGAAATCATTTAATCTCACCCCTGAAGCAGAAATGGATTTGGTTTGACCTCAGTTTATCTTTATTCTTTGGCTGGCTAGTTGGGAGGGCAATTTGCAGATTTGCTGGAAAGAGGGTGAGGAAGAACCTGGGGATTTTGCCTCAGTCTGAGAAAAACAAGAACACGTGTAAATTTTTTTTACACAAGGAGTGGAATTTTTTTTTTATTTTACTACTAAAAACTGCAATAAGTCTCTTGTAATTATGTATTTGGAAGGATGTCTTTCCTTTACATATAGGATTTCATTCATTTTGCCAATGTCCTTGGTGCATGTAGCTATCAGCATTTTCTTGTTCCCTTTGCTATTATTGTTATTGTTATTATCACCTTTTGATAAAGGCAACTTTATCTTATGGTAAATTAACTTGGGAAGATCTGAGAACCTCAACGCAGTGCAACCTTTCGTGGTCCTAGTGTCATATAAGTCAGTGGACTCAACAGCGAGTCTTTAAAAGTGACTTCCCACCCCAAGGACCTCCTCACCACCACCCCCTCCTCCGCCTCCTCCCTCCCCTCTCCAATGATAGACGCTACGAAATGGTGAGAAGAGCGATAGGTGTGCCTCCGTGGCTGAGCCGGGATGTAAACTTTATAAATGATTGGATAAGATGAAGAAAGCGACTCCCCCACAGCGCTCAGCATAGTTTCCCTGGCTCAGGCTGACAGTAGCTGTGCGCTCGCTCCGCCCGCCCGCTCGCACTCTGCACCCGCTTGGAGCCAGCGCTGGCTGCCCAGCTCCGGCTCCGGCTCCGGCGGCGCTCGGCTCCAGGTCATTTCTAGCCAGCCGAACTCAGCCCCACACCATGCCGCCGCCGCAGCAGCAGCTTGCCCCCGCCGCCGCCCTCAGTACTGTCCTGCTGCTTCTCTTGCTGGCCACCGACTCCTCGCAGAGTGAGTACCCCCGGCCTCAGCGGGCGCCTCCCAAGCTCTGCTCTATCCCCTGGGCAAGGGGAATCAGGGCACTGACCTGAAGAGCACTGAATTGCCTATCTCCCCCACCCCCACCCCCCAACCCGGTCTCGCGCCTGCCCTCTCCGGCTTAGAGCCTGGGGAGGGGGATCCTCTGCCCAGACAGCCTCCTCACCCCACCCCCCCCTAGCTGCGCCCCCCGCCCCCATCCCCGCCATCCATAATGCGACATCAGCAGCAGCAGCAGCAGCGACTGCGGTCGCCGAGGCCACAGCATCCCCCTTCCTTCAAGGACACTCGGGAAAGTGCTCAATCCCCAGGCTGCTGCGGCTGCAGAGCGTGTGTGTGCGGGAGGTTGGGGAGGGGGGAAAGCAGTTCTATCTCCTTGTTGCAAGCAGGGTGGGGTG